AGAAAAAAAGATATTGAGGATGGAGAAAGCAAGGAGAAAACAAGTTAGCATCCGAGATCACGATTACAACTGGGGAGCACTGAAAGAGTTGTGTGAGGAAGAAGATTTTCCAGCGTCGGAGGAGTTGGAAGAGAGCGCGGTAACTCCTGTGAATGAACACACACCGGTTCCTAGCCCTGACCACAAAACACTTAAAAAGAAGAAAACAAATATGAGTGAAGAGATTAATATTAGCAATGAGAGCATATATGAAGCCATTCAAACAGTCCTGCAAAGATTCGACACACAGGACAAACGTCTCATGAACTCCGCATAGAGGCGAATACAAAAGCTGTTAAGAAAAATAAGGAGGAAATTGGAAAACTTCAAAATCAAATACCTGCCCTGACGAAAGAAAACAGCACTCTGATGGAAATGTGTAAAGAAAATGCCAGATACAAGAGGAGATGGGACCACAAGCTACTGGGCTTAAGGGAGAAAGACAACGAGGATGGAAAAGAGGCTGTAGTCAGGATCCTGACCAGGGTGATTCTAGCGGCGGTGGATAAAATACGGGAATCGGTGAACACCGTTCATCGGCTGGGCAAGAAAAACGACGCAGTGACCAACAAAATGCCGAGACCAATCATCATTCAGTTTGCAACCCAGAAAGCCAGAAATGAAATCTGGAAGAAATCTAAAGATGCAAGAGAGTCTGCAAGGAACTAAACATCCACTTCAGGGAGGACTTCTCTAAAGATGATCGAGAGGCCAGAGCTAAGCTGTGGCCGAAAGTGGAAGAGGCCAGACGGAACGAGAGAAAGGCGGGTTATGCTGTCATTGATGGCAAATGAGTCGAACCCTGAGAAGTGGACAAAAAAAAAAGATTAAAAAAAAGATCAAAAAGTGCCTTTCTATCAGGTAACATGAAACAAAAAATGCTTCTGAATATGCTGTAAAAGGTGTTGATTGAGAGTTTTCAGTAAAGATATAATTCCAAAAGTAAAAAAAAGAAAAAAAGGTTAATTTTGGGTTATGCAAATATGTTGGCTAACGAATAACAAGGGAGAAAAAATGTTGAAGACTGCCACAGCTCTGTTTTTGTTTATTTTGTTTTATTGCCTTCAAATGAGTTATACTTAAAGGTAAACTGTATGAAACAGTGAAGTTAAAAGAGTTCTGGGGGTTGGTTTAATTAATATTTCCAATTAAGGACTTCATAAACATTCCTGCGTCTAATAAGGTTAGAAAAAAAAGGCGTATTTCTGGAGTTTTCTAAAATATGTCTGTATCTTGTTTCTATAAATGTTAGAGGTTTAAAAAATACTGTTAAATACAAGGCTTTCTTTTTATTTTGTAAGGAACAACAGGCAAATAGTTTTTTTTCTACAAGAGACTCACTCAGAGGTAACAGATGAAAAATTTTGGAAACAGCAATGGGGAGATGAAATACTTTTCTCTCATTCTGCTTTTCAATAAATTTTTAAGAAAGGTAATTGCACACAAATGCGATACAGATGGACATTGGCTTATAATGGCAGTAGAGATATATGATCAGAGATATATTCTACTTTGTGTGTATGGCTATAACAACAGAACAGCTAATAAGTCATGATGGAAAGTCTAAGTTTGGTCATAAATGAGTGGAAAATTACTTTCATGACCGAGAAAGTGGTAATGGGTAGTGATTACAACATAGCTCCTGATTCATGGCTTGATCGCAAACCTCATAGAGGTCAGCAACCCTGTATATGATGATATTTTGACCAATCTATGTCAATCTATCTACATCAACACATACAGTGGATTATTGGAGAATCTCAAACCCCACCTCTGTAAAATACACTTGGTCTAACTCTGCAGATAACAATCTGTGTTCAAGATTAGATAATTGTTTAATTTCTTAGATTATAGCTAAAGATGTTTTAAAATGTGATATTTCCATATTTCCCCTAACGGACCACTGCATGATTGGACTGTGAGAATAATTCAACAACCTAAATCATCACAAAACATCTGGAAATTCAATAATAGTTTATTACTTGATGCCAAATTCTGTAGGCAGGTTAAAAATTCTTTTTCAAAAAATAAATGGTCTGGATATGTCACATACAAACAAATGGGAGTGGTTCAAATTTGAACTTAAACAGCCATTGGAACACAAGGGAAAACATTTCACAGGTGAGAAAACAAAAACAAATCATTTTTAAAATATATGAGATATG